TGTGCATCCTCCCCACATCCATCCCCAATGTGTGCATCCTCCCCAGATCCATCCCCAATGTGTGCATCCTCCCCACATCCATCCCCAATGTGTGCATCCTCCCCAGATCCATCCCCCGTGTGCATCCTCCCCTTTCGATCCCCGTCCCATGGGCTGTGGCAGAGGGACTCGATGTGATGGGGAACATCTGCTCCCTTCATCGCCACCTCCCCCGGGCCGGGCCGTGCCCGCAGCACCCGGCGGGCCGTGAGAAGAAGAGCAGCGCTGTCAGAGCCCATCAGCGCTGATGGGCACGGGGGGAGCGGCTGCGGGGGGACACGGAGCGGCACCGGAGGCTCCTCCTGGCTCCTCCTCAGCGGCCCCAGCTCAGGGGATGTGCCCCGGGTTTGTTGAATGACAGATAAGAGTGGCTCGGAGGAGGAGGTGAGGCAAAGGCAGCGGGGTCCGTGTCCCTGGAGTGTGGGATGGGCAGCTTGGCTTGGCCAAGCACTGGACTCCAGGGTCTGTGTCTGTCCTGGCCGGCTGGGCTCCTCGCAAGTCTGGCTCACAACCCTCCCGGTGCCACAGTCAGATCGCTCCTCTTTGCTCCTCATCCCCAGCAGCTGCTTTGTCTGGGCCTAGCGCTGCAGGAGAAAAGACACTTCCAGCTGTAAGGACCAAGCACGCCGGTCAGCAAATTCACTGAAGACACGGCTCAGCCTCCTAGCAACCCCAGCACGGAAAAAGCTAAAATCCCGTCTCGGTGGGTGAGATCCTCTCTCTTGCCCTCAGCTCAGTGTCAGTGCTGTGACAGCACGGGGGAGGGCAGCCAGCGGCTGGGGACAGCAACAGATGGGAACGGCTCTGTGCAGCTGCCAGCCAGAGCTGGGGCTGGTTTGCTGCAACTGGAGCCGAGCTGGGCTGCTCAGAGCATCCCTGCAGCATCCCCAGCCCTTGCAAAGGCCACAGGAAAAATACCTGCAGGAGCCAACCCTGCAGAAGTGCAGCCATGGAGCTGGGAGTGATGGATCGTCCTGTAAGTGCCACACGAACGTGGTCACCCCTGCTCCCTGCAGGAGAGGTCCTGTGCTGTGGCACTGCCACTTGAAATGATCCCCCAAAAATGGCCTTTTCTGCTGGGACTTGGGGTGAGGAGCAAGAGCTGCTGCTCTGGGAGATGCTGGGACAAGGGAAAGAAGGCCCTTCTGTCCCATATCAGATCTTCTCTGTAAAAGATTCACAGAATCATAGAATAGTTTGGGTTGGAAGGGACCTTAAGGGTCTTCTGGTTCCAGCTGCCTCTCCCAGGGTCTTCTCTCAGCTTCCCATGGGAACAGTTCCCTGGCCAAAATTCTCAGGTCACACCCATGTCAGACAACTCCCCAAAACACTCCAAATCTTCTGTGAGAATCCTGGAGTCATTACCACATCTTTACTCAGGCAAACATTCATCCATCACTGCCAGGGGATAAAAAGTAGACTCCAAACTACATCCCATGAATGTCACCTCCATAAGAACAAAACAAACAGCAGGCTGGGACCTCAGCAAAATCCAGGGGAGCAACAAGGTCCATGAGGCTTGAGCTGCCAGGCTCTGGCCAGAGGAGCTCAGCACCCTGGGGACACCAGCTCAGAGCAGAAACCTGCCCCTGTTTGGTGAATCACTCTTGCAGTGGCTGTGGAATGGGATGTGGTGTCTGGTTGTGTCTGGCCAAGACTGGACAAAAATTATTTGTAGAGACCCTGCAGGAGCTTTCTGTGCAATCTCACTCAGGACCACGGAATTTCCATGGAAATGTGGAAAGCTGAGGTTTCTCCACACCTTTGTCTACCCACTCCACCTTTATTAGAAATCTTTTCACCATCCTAAAGGGTGAAACCTCATTGACTTGGCCCATGACATCCCAGCGTGTTGAGGTGAGTTTGATGATCTGGAGACCTGAGCTACAGAGAGACCCTGACCCTTTTCCTTCAGGCCTCTGAAGTCCCTTCAGGAGAGCAAGAACCTTCAGTCATTAGAAAGGCTGGACTGAAACTAATTGCCCTAAAAGAGAAAAGCTTCACATCCCAGCCCCAAGCCCCCAGGCCTTTAGGATTTCTATGGGCAGCATGAAATTAGTGAATTACTATTTGTGTGATTCCCTAGACCCTTGCCCATAGGACATTTTTGCTCTGTCATATAATGTAAACTGCAGGCTCTGGATGTTCAGAGAGTCAGAAGTAACTGGAAGAAGGAAGGAAAAATGTAATGTGGTCCCTTGGAGAGCTGCAGGCTCCCCAGAGCATCTCCAGGAACGTGGCACTCACATGCAGAGCTGAGACAACACTGACCCCTCTGCAGCTCAGCACATCCATTTCCTGCCACTCTTATTGCCAGGGAAAAAAGTCATCATTAACAGCCAAAATAGAACTTCTTTTTTTTTAATTATAATGAATAGATGGATTTAATGGCAAAAGAGTTCTCTGTTCTCTGCTGGTTCTGATCCTTGGTGTTCTTTGGTCCTTGTTTGTCTCCTTTATTTCAAGGTGCAGTCTGGGTATTTCTGTTACTGGTCAGGGCTGAATGTGATGGTCCATCTGTGGGCACAAATAATCATTCACACCAGAGAAACTGGGACAGGACCCCCAGTGGAAACAGTTCCTGACAGCAATACCAAGCTCCAGGCTGCTCCTTGCCCTGGCCACAGGCAGGGAAAATGTTCTGGGGTACACCCAGAGCTCTGCACCTCCTCCCACCTTCAGACATAGAATTGTGGAGCATCTCCAGCTGGAAGGGACCCACAACTCCCTGATCCTTGCAGGACCACCTAGAACTAAACCATGGCACTGTGAGCACCATCCAGGCATCTGAAATTGGGTAAAATGAATTCTGCTCCTGCTCTGAAGCCATCTTGTCCCCAAAAGTGCACCTTTGTTCTAGGTCACTGTCTCACCCACCATTGCATCCATCACCTGTAGAAATCCATCCACCATCACCTGTAGAAAGGAGACCTGAGAAGCTCAAGAGATTTGAGCTTCCCAAAAGATGGAGGACTAACATAAAAGTCATGGAATTGTATGGGGTTCTCTTGACCATGAGATGCTGCTGGGGAAACCTTGTTCAAAAGGCTGGAAGTCCTCTCCAGACACCTCTCCCTGGTTTTGTTTCAGAATAATTCAGAACAAAATCTGGAAGTCCCTCAGCAGCTCCTCTGGCACCAGAAGATGGCCAGAGGGACCAGCAGACCCTTAACCATTAGCCATGGTGTGGTGCTGCACTCCTGGTGTGTGCTCAGCTGCTGCAGCCGTGGCAGACACGTGAATCACCTCTTGTTCTCTCTGATGTGGTGGTGTCAGAGAAAAGGGAACAGTGGAGTGGACACACACCCTGTGAAGGAAATCTCATAGAATCACAGAATTATTCAGGCTGGAAAAGCTCTCTGAGATCATTGAGTACCACCCTTAACCCAGCTCTGTCCCCAAGTGCCACATCTACACAGTTTTTAATCCCTCCAGCAATGGGGACTCACCACTGCCCTGGGAGGCCTGGAACAATGCTTTGTGAACAGTGCAGGGTGAGGGAAGTGGGAATGGGCTCCAGGATGCTGCAGGAGGGGTTTTTTCCCAGAATGAAGAAGCAGAGGGTGAAGAACAGCAGGAGGAGATACTGCAAGCAGGCAGGTGATGTCCTCTCATGAACTGCTCTCCCAGGTCCAGCCTTGCACTTGTGCATGTTAAACCTTCTGGTTTCTGGATCCTGAAGGCCGGCAGGAAGGGGTTTCCAGGTTATCACCCTGGGCAGCTGGGCAGCCAGACTGTTCTCCAGCCAGACTGTTCTCCAGCCAGACTGTTCTCCAGCCAGACTGTTCTCCAGCCAGACTGTTCTCCAGTCAGACTGTTCTCCAGACAGACTGTTCTCCAGTCAGACTGTTCTCCAGCCAGACTGTTCTCCAGACAGACTGTTCTCCAGTCAGACTGTTCTCCAGTCAGACTGTTCTCCAGCCAGACTGTTCTCCAGTCAGACTGTTCTCCAGCCAGACTGTTCTCCAGCCAGACTGTTCTCCAGCCAGGCTGTTCTCCAGCCAGACTAGAGGGGTGCTGCTGTGCTTTCCCAGAAATCATGAGAACAGTCTGATAAGAGACTTGTCTCTTGACCTTCAAGCAGCAGACTCCATCCTCAGTGCCCCACCATTGGCACCCCCACCCACCATCTCTTTTGGCCTGGAGGTGCCTGGAAGAGGGTGAGGAGCTCTCTGGTTCATTGATCCCATCTCTCCAAGGCACAGGAGGCGTCTCAGCACCGTCAGCGTGGCCGGTTGTTATTGTCATTGCTGATTTCTGTGCTCTCCTGCCTCTTTCTCCCTGACTGGTTTGGTGGCCCTGTCATTACCAGGTTTCTCCAGCTGCCTGTCAGGGTCCTACTGGCCTCAGCGTTGCCTCAGGCTCCTGGATAACAAACAAGGCACAGAAGAGTCCTTGGGCTTCCACGGCCTTAATTAGCTGGTGTCATTTTAGGGATGTGTGTCCTGCTGGAGACACAGACAGCTCAGGAGGCATCTTTAAATGCATCCAATTAGAGGGGGCTTCAGAGGCGAGCCAGCAGCTCCTGAGTGCAGGGGCTGCTGTGAGACCTTGTGTCCTCAGCGAGTTGTTCTCCCCCTGGCAAACACCAGTCCCTCCTCGCTGGAACTGGCCCTGCTGTGGTCCTGCTGGCATTCACAGCGTCCTGCCTGGCTTTTCTCCAAGGAACCTGCCAGTGAATCCTGTCGGACTCAAAGCTTGGGTAGATGCTGGGATGAAATCAGTCAGTGTTTGCTCGAGTTTTCAGCAGCTCTGGATCTCCAAGGGAGCTGCTGCCCAGTGTCTTTGGACAGAGCACAGCTCCCCTGTCCCTTCCCCATCTCTGCTGATGTGCCAGTTCTCACTGTGACCACAATCAAGGCGTTGCTCTTGGTGATCCTTGTACTGAGCTGGTCCCTCCCAGCTCTTCCTGTACCGTATGAATGTGCTATTCCATATCCACAGGATACCAGGATATTCTATGGCTCTTTGATAACCTGTTGCTGAGACCCAGCCCAAGGAAATCCTTTATTCCTAAGGATGGCTCCTCAGGGAGTCTAAGGAGGCACCTTCATGGGTTGCTCTGCAGGCTGTGACTGAGGGGTGCCACCACAAGCACCCCTCACCATCCCAAAGAGCTCATGCCCTGCAGGATCCACAAGGAGAGGCCACCCTGAGGAGAGGCAGAGGATTGGGGACTTCACACAGAACCTCCACTGTGACCTGAGCTTCCTTGAAACAAATGAGAGGCCAATGGAGTGAGGATGTGAATAACAGAACCACACAAAGCTTTGGGCTGGAAAGGATCTTTAAAGCTCATCCACAGGGGCACCATGGGGTATCCCCTGCAAGGGGCAGGGACAGCTTCTACAAGAAAGGCTCCTTCAAGCCCCCTCCAACCTGGCCTTGAACACTTCCAGGAACAGGGCAGCCACAGCTTCTCTGGGCACCCTCACTTTGAAAAAACATTTATATCCACCTAAATCTCCCCTCTTTCTGTTTAAAACCATCCCACTTCATCCTATCACAACAGGCCCTGCTGAAAGGCTCATCTCTGTACCATGAGATGTTTTCTGGGATGTGTTTGTCCTTCAACATCTGCACACAGCTGTTTGCAAAGCCCTCATGGGGAGCTCTGCATTCCAGTCAACCATGAACATCTCCAGCCAAACACGAACACGTCAGACTGCCAGAGTCCTCCTGTGCAAGGTGAGCTCATCCCATCTCCCTGCCCACATCCTGCCTTTGACAGGTCACCTCTGGCACCTGCCTGTCCCCCGGGGAGGTGCCTTGGTGTCCCCATCCTCCCCTCCTGCCCAAGCCTCGCTGCAGCTCCAGGTAACAGCACCCAGCACCATCCCTTCAGCCTCGGCTCCCTGTCTCTTCAGCAGGAGGCAGCTAGGTCAATCCCCTCCCCGGGGCTCAGTAATTATTAAATCAATTAAACCCTGATGGAAATGAGGTTCCCATCCCCACTCCTGGATGTGGTGCTGAGGAGTCCGGGCTCTGCTCTGGCTGGGCTCGGTGGCAGCGGCTGCAAAGAGTTAACGCCGAGCAGCACCATTAATATTCTCACTGATAAGCCCAAATACCAGCCCTGCACGGCTGTCGCTTTCATTAGCGCCGGGAAAATGAGCCCTTCAAAATAGGACAGGCGGCTGGGGGGGCGTGGGGAGGAGGGCTCTGGGGCCAAACACGCGATTTTCCGTGCGATTGAAGGATATTAAACCTCCTTCCAGTGACGTCAGGGGTGTCTCGGGTGATGGTGAAGGATTCCCCAGCCCCCCTCGGCCCCGAGCCCCCCAGCCCTGCCCGGGTGGGTGCCCGAGAGCCGCGGTCGGGAGGTGTGCGGGCGGCTGTCACATCGCATCACTGCCGGCCCCGGCGCGGTCACTCTGCCTTTGCCGCAGAAGCGCTTCAAGAGTCAGCGATTCACTCAAGCGGCTGGGCAGAGCCAGGGGTGGCCGGGCAGCCAGGGATGGCGCGGGGACATGGGGTTTGGGGATTTTTCCTTTTTCAGAGGTGCAAGGGGAGCGAGAGCCCTGCTCGGTGCGTGGAAAAGTTCATCTTCCATGTAACCTGTGCAGGAGCTGCAGAGCTGCTGGCACCTCAGATCTCCTAAATTTTGCTTTACCACGTGCATTCCCAGCAAATCTGAGCACTTTGGGTGCTGGGAAAGGACGACTCAGACAGGGGCCAGATCCATTCTGCTCTCCATCACAGCCTCCAACAGGATCCCAGGGATGCTGCCAGAGCACGGATTGGTTTTTTCAGCTGTTGCATCTCCCCGTGTTTCAGCTGCAGCTGTCCAGCTCCCTTGGGATGCTGCTGTGGCCAGGGAGAGGGATCGGATGGGATGGGGAAACTGAGGTAGGGGCCAGGTGCTTGAGCACACGTGCTGTCCAAAGACACGATGGATGGGCTCAGGACTGGGGCTGTGATGCTGTTGGACCAGAGGAGCCACAGAAGGAGCTGCTGCAATGATGGGAAGCACAGCCTGAGGCTGTGGCAGTCTGGAAGGACCATGCCAATTTGTGGCCACATCCAGGTCCCATTGTCCATAGTGAGAAATGAGTCTTGCAAGATGCTGAATGTGAGCCAAGGTCCCTCAAAGAATCTTGGAACAGTTTGGAAAGGACTTCAAAGCTCATCTTGTTCCAGCCCCTGCCATGGGCACCTTCCACTGGATCAGGTTGCTCCAAGCCCTGTCCAAGGTGACCTTGAACCACCCCTTGAACAGGGGCAGCCACAACTTCGTCCTTCTCTTCCTGAATGAGGACACTGAAGCAGTTTATGTTCAAGCCAGACATTAGGTGAGAAATGAAGATCCACTTTGACACATGCCCAGGGAGGGTGATGACCAAGACAAACCTGCCCCTGACCCAGAGACATCTCTGGAGGTACCAGGAGCCAGCCATGGTTCAAGGTTTCTGTTTCACATGCAGCCACGGGTGCTTGTACAGGGACTGTAGCAGAGCTCCATCCCATTTTGATGGATCTCATGGTCCAGGGGCTGTCCAGGCACAGAGCTGCCCCCCTGCCAGCCCCCAGCCTGCTCCTATGGGGCACAAGGGTGCCCTGGAGGAGAGTGGCCCGTTCTGTGCCCATGCCAGGGTGACAGCACATCCCTCAGCCCATGGTGCTCCCCCTGCACGGCAGTGGCTGCATCCCACAGCATCCCCAAAGAGCCCCAGCACTCCTGGGACTTGGAACCCCAGGGCTCCTTGGGCCACTGGAGATGTTCTGGTCCAGCCCCCTGCTCACAGCCCCTACCCCCTCCCTGACCTTTGGGGTGTCCCGCAGAGCTTGTTTTCCAATCTGCCCAAGCAGTGGCTGTCCCCAGAGCTCTCCTGGCAGCCAGGCATGGGATCCAGCACGGGACAGCCCCGGCAGCAGCCTGTGAAGAGAGACAGAGCTGTCCTCACCTGGCTACCGTGCAGCTGGAGCTACAGACACCAAAGTCAACAGCGAGGTGACACAAGGGACAGGAGAGGGGCTGTGTCTCTCTCCCCACCTGCTGATGTCCCCGGTGCCGGGAAGAACCAAAGCTGTGGCCGGGGAAGCCAAATGGCAGCGTCTGGCACACGTGGGGCCGGGGAGGCGGCGCTGGGCTCAGCAGCCTGTGTGACAAGCCAGACCAGCATGGTGGATGGCAGTAATTATCGTGCCGCCCACAGCTGAAGGGGAGCATATGGTAAGGAAAAGGAAACTAACTTGTATTTTTCTGCACCCCCGGGCTCAGCCTTTCTGGGGCTGTCACAGTCGATTTGTGCTGCCTGAGCTGTTTCGCCCCGGCCGCCCCTGCGTGCGGCAGCTCCCTGGCAGGGCTGGGACACGGAGCAGGGAGCTGGGTGCCTTTGGAGCACCTTGGGATTCAGAAGCCCTGAGGAACCCTGGACAGAGCTGGACACCCACCCTGGCTGTGTGCGGAGAGGTCTCTGCAGCAGCCCTGGGTTATCCATCAGCTCTGAGCTGTCTCTGCTTTCCAACCACACCAGGCTTTCCTGACCATGGGTTATTCCCCACTGGAGCTCCCAGGCAGCCCCTAAAGCTACCACAAGTCATACAGAGCCCTCCCTGAGCCACTGTGTGTGCTGTGGGCAGCCACTTGTAGGGTCCAGGAATGGTTTAGGTTGGAAAGGACCTCAAAGCCCATCCAGTTCCACCCCTGCCATGAGCAGGGACACCTTCCACTATCCCAGGCTGCTCCAAGCCCCATCCAACCTGGCCTTGGACACTTCCAGGGATCCAGGGGCAGCCACAGCTCCTTTGGGCACCCTGCACCAGGGCCTGCCCACCCCCATAGGGACAAATTTTTCTCTACCATCCAATCTAACCCTGCTCTCAGAGAGTCTCCATTGCACACCCAGGCACGATGTGGCCTCTCAGGTGGCCCCGAGGTGGCCAGGATCTGGCTGGGAAGGAAAACTGCTGCCTCACTCCAAAGCTCTCTCCCAGCCAGTCCTCTGTCCAAATCCTCTTGCCAAAGTGAGCCAGGAGGCAGCAGAGGCAGCAGGCAGCTGTCCCTGTTGGAAGCATCGTGGTTTCCATGTTCATGGCCAGTGGGGATTTCTCAGGTGTGGGAAGAAGTGGGATATCTCCATGGAGCTGCCAACAGGCTCTGGGGTGGGTGAATCCTGCTGATATTGGCTTTGTTGTGACAAGGAGAGCCCAATGCTGGAGCTGAGCTCCTTCAAGGGCCGTGATCCTGTTCCATGTTGTGGTGCAAGGCTGTGTAGGAACCACCTGGGCATCCTTGCCAGCATCACCACAGACTGGTTCATCTGCCAGCTGGGCATGGATTCACCCCTGGAAAGCAAAACTTCTATTTTTCATTGAGAAAGGCAGAGTGGGAGTTTCCAGTTCCTTTCCAGATCTGCTGCTGCTGCCTCAGGGCTCCTGGAAGAGGCTGGACCCAGACACTGTTTCTATGCAGTGGGATATAAAACCCATTGGTTTTCTCACTATTGCTGGTGCCTCACTGGTACAGGGCAACATCTCAGGGGTCTGGTTTGGGTACAGAAACTGAAAACAGAGCTGAGCCTTGTGGGAGGTGGGGACCATGGTCAGGATGGTTGAGACCTCAGCTCAGAATTCTTCAGGGTAGAATACCAAAGCTGGTCACCCAGGCACCCTGCTTGACCCAAAGAGGATTTTGCAGGGACACAGGAGGCTGCTGGCCCGGGATGCAGCACCAGCATCCAGGGGAGGTTATTTCTTTAGAAGGAAATTTAATGAGCAGGAGACCTCAACCCTCACAAAGCCCTCAGCAAACACCAGTAGAAAGAGGGGACATGAGGAGAGGGCTTCACCCACGTGCCCTGAAGCTGCCCTTCCCACAGCCAGGGTCTCCTTCCTGGGCTCGTTTCCAGCCCCTGGCAGCCGCAGAGCTGGGAGAGCAGGGCTGGGGACAGCTCTGCCGACAGAGCTCCTTCCCCTGCTCCAGGAGGTGCCCATCTCCACCCAGCTCCACCCTGGGCCAGCTGGCTGCAGGGCCTGGATGCCACAGGAGGGTGGCACGGGCTGAGGCTGCTGGTTTTTAGCACAGGGCCCGGAGAGCTGCTGAGCTCCGGGCAAGGCACGGGGCCCATCTGTCACAGCAGCCCCTGGCCCAGGCACAGCTTGCACAGCACGGGCCAGAGCATTGCCCAGTGCTGGGCCACGGGCACGGCCAGCTCTGGCTGCTCCCCCCACAGCCCCTCCAGCAGAGCTGGGCCCCCCTGTGTGACCGATATCCCAGGGGAACGGGTGGAGAAGTGAAAGGGGCTGAGCAGCCTCTTGGCTCATTGATAACCCGGGGGGGAAGGACTATAATGTGCACAGAGAACAGAAACATCAATTAGTTTCTCTTTAATGGCAGGAGGAGGATGGGGGCTCTTGAGGGGTTGGGGGTGTCCTGAAAAGCAGAGCTGAATTCCCAGGCTGGAGGAGGTGAAGGATGAGGCCGTGCTGCAGGGAACCCTTTCCATGTCTGTGTTCCCTCCTCACGCTGGATCCCTTGGGTTTGCCTGTAGGAC